CCACTCACTCCTCACAGTGCACTCCTCATAACACAGAACACACAAGAACAAGTCTGTTCATCCACAGCAGCTGAGACACGAGTGTGTTACAGCAGCAGCTTCGCTAGGTGTTCACAGACAGGTGTGTGGCAGCCGCCCAGCCCACAGCACAGTCTGGACTCTCACCTGCCCACCACCACCTGTAGACCCCTGAGGCTGTCTGAATTGACACATTAACCAGGTCTGCCTGTGATGCACCAGAACCACATGTACCAACAAGCATGCCTCTTGCAAAGAAGTATACACCAGTCAGTCTTCTTTCCTACAGTCAAAAATACGAGGAAATATGAGGATCAAGTTTGCTATTACTTTCCAACGCTAATGAATTAAAAGCCATACCATGTGCTGGGCCATTCTTTCCTGCTTGGACAGGATGGGTCACTCCTATGGAATATACTATTCTCTAATTGCCTTTTAGCAGTAATATGCAATGTAATAAGCAATTGAACAACCCTTCACACTGCGCGCATCTCAAGGAGTCACCATTACTACATGGGAAATAATATTTATATCTTGAGCCAGTACTGTATGTGTACGATAATAGCCATGTAGCATATATATGTAGGTGCTTATTCTATATACTGTAAGAGCTCCTTTCATAAAGAGCATAAGGTTACAAATGAAGGAAGGGCATTCAGCCCACTCAGCCTGTTTGATCTTGAGTAGCTAATTGATCCAAAAATCTCAACCATCTGTTTCTTGAAAGACACAACAGTATCAGCTTCAACGGGGCTGGGTCTGCTCACTCTCTGAGACTGATCCCCTGTGTCCAGGCGCCAGGCATTGCGGAGGGGAACCCGGAGTGATCCTGCCAGGCTCTGGGCGCCAGGCTGCGAGAGAGCAGCATCCATTCACAGCAGGGACCGGACCCGGCATGTCTGAACAGTGGAGAAAACTCCGCTGAGTCTGGAGACGCCAGCAGGGGACAGATGATCACAGGACAGTGTGGCTGTGGCTGATTTCCTCTGAGAGAGACAGAAAAAGGCGGGATTCAGGACATGAGACGCAGGGCCCAGAGGTCGAATCAGAGACGTGAATCAGAGCTGTGAGACACTGGACCCAGAGGTCGAATCAGAGACATGAGACACAGAGCCCAGAGGTCGAA